TTGTAAATGCTGTTTCATCTCAGAACTTTTCTCCTCCTCCTCGTCTTCTATCTGCTCCCACAGGATCAGCTTCCAGACCTGTGGTCCCACTTCCAGGAGCTGAACCTGGAGGCACACATGTACGCCTCCCAGTGGTTCCTCACCCTCTTCACTGCCAAGTTCCCCCTGTGCATGGTTTTCCACATCACTGACTTGCTGCTCTGTGAGGTATAATTTGGCTCACTGCACTACTTTGTACTGGTAGTATATGGAGAGTGATTTGGTCTACTTTGTCAGAGGGGAGGGTCAACGGTCTAGAAAGATTAGAGGAGTAGTAAGGACTTAGGACAAAAGGTCACTGAAGGAAGAGAAGGAGTGGCCGAGGTTACTGGTATGTTAGGAGGGAGTATGGCAACCATTAAGGTAGATGGAAGGAGACATGAAAGGAAAAGGGGAAAGAGAAGGATGGAAGGAGGAGGAGTTGGTTAAACTGTACAGTGACACTTTACTCTCTACACCAGACCCGGTCATACCCGGCCCCCGGGCTGTCAACGACCGGCCCACAGGACGTCAATGGGAAATTAGGAATAAAACATAAATAAGTGTACATCATGCTTTCTCAATTTCTGTACGTTAGTACGTTCGTGAATGTGTGCGAGCAGCAGCGTCACTGCAATGTGTCGGTGAACTGAGCTTACAGGAGATGTGAGTTAGCTGTTAGCCCCTTAAAACATGTCAGCCTATGTTAAAAAAGGAAAGATTGACACAGACTGTAGAGTTTTTATTTACTGAAGTCAAAGGTAAAGCCGTGTGCTTAGTTTGTGGAGAACAGATCGCAATGTTTAAGGATTACAATTTGAAACTCCATTACGAGACAAAACACAATGAGAAATACAAAAACTTGACTGATGCAGATATATTGATAAGTCGTTTTGGATAAAAGCGTCTGCTAAAAAATGACTAATATTACAAATGTTTATTTGTTTGGATCATTATTCCTGCTGCAGATGTTTACGGTGGAGCTCATTTTAACTCCTTTATACTCTGTTGTTCAGTTTGGGTAGTTAGGAAAGGTTTGAAAAATGATAATGTGCAAAGTAACTAGTAACTAAAGCTGCCAGACAAATGTAGTGGAGTTAAAAGTATTTCCCTCTGAAATGTAGTGGAAGTACAAAATTGAATAAAATAGAAATACTCAAGTTAAGCACAGTATTTAAGCAAATATACTGAGTTACATTCCACCACTGATCATAACATTTACTCTTACCACTCACAGCTTATCAAAACCATACAATTTACTGCTTCTAATAACGAGATGGAATAATATAGAGCAGGATATTGAGTTCAGTCTATTGGTCCGGCCCTCCACAACAGTCCCTGTTTCTCATGTGGCCCCTTGGGGAAAATAATTGCCCACCCCTGCTCTGCACTCTACTGACCAGCTTTGGTTTGATCTAATATCTTACAAATGTAATCAATAGAGATACGCTGATCAGGCTTTGAAGGGCAGATACCATCATCGATTTAGTGTCATTAGGACCACGTCACCCGACAGCAATCACTGCTTCTTGTTCTAAAACATTTTACAGAAAGCTCCTCTGAAGAGACCTTCTTACTAAAGCCACTAGTTTACCTCATGTCTGACTCACCATTTCAAAATATGATCACGATAGATTTACATTTGATCTTCTGAGTGATTCTCTGGCGTTCTGGTACCACTGTTTTAACATAAGTGCATTTCCCCTGAGACCACAGAGGAGCTTTATCAGCCAATTTTTGAAAAACCACATGAAACTCTTTTAAAACAGTGGTTGTACATGTTCCTCCGTGGTCATGGCAGAATGAAGTCGCTCTCCCACTGTGTGTGTGTGTGTGTGTGTTGTAATCCAAGTTTCTCCCTACTTTGTTGACATTTTTTCGGCAGGCAGCACAGGCTTTTAGTGCTTGTTCGTGCCTGTGAGCATGGCCCCACACGCTAGCTCACAGACGTCGCTCTGGGGCTCTTACAGCAGACGGTCGTTGCAAAAGCGTAACACCCACCCCCTTTTTCCCCCCCTCATGTCAGTATGTATGAGGAGGCGTTTTAGATTTTGAAGGAAACATGTTTCTTTTAGCACTCTTTTGTATTTTGCACTGTTAGCACCGTTAGCTTTGAGCTATGTTGAGAGCCTTTGAGAGGCAATAGAAATGTACCCAATCTTGTATTTACCACCTTTAATCACCATCATAATGTTTACAATGCTACAGAGTAATTCACCATAGAAATAAAATTATTCAGAATTTTAAAAAAAGAAAACACGAAATACAAACTAGTTAAAGCAAGTACTAGAATAGTAAATAAACAAAAAAACATTTCTTTTTTGGAGGAAATCCCCTGAAAAATCAATAGTTCACTCAATATATTAACATTGGAGAAACCTTGAGGGGCTTCTCTAGATCTGAACCCCTGCAATGTTTTTTTGGGTTTTGTCACTGACTGTCTGTAACAAACACTAAATTCAAGCATATGGTAATTCATAAGTACATCACATAGTACATTACCCGTTACTGTATACTCACCTACAGTACCGGGAGTATACGCCTGAGTTTTTATGTCTTTGGCTGCATCATCTGATCTGCGGCCATATGATTTGCCAACTCAGGTGAAGAGTGAAACGGGGCTTTTAGATGATCACCACCAGCTAGTGAGTTAGATCAGGTGGCCGGTAAGGCTGCCAGACAGACCTGGTGAAGCCAAATGTGTAATTAGAATGTCTTAGGAGGGTCTGACTGAGGCCCTATTTGGAGGTGGAACCATGCAGCTGCGTCCTTCTGGAAAATAAGTATTCTGTTTTGAGTGTAGAATCTTAAAGTAACAAGGGGCCTAGAACAAAGCCCTGCGGAACACCGCGTCCAACATGAGCAGATGAAGAAGAGGCTTTACCCAAACAGCAGCTTGAGTTCAAGGGCAGAATCACTCCGACCCATTTCTCCAGGTGACTCAGCAAAATAGTATAATCCACTGTATCAAATTCTGACCTTAAATGTAAAGCACAAGAACTTGTTTTCCACCACCATCACACCATTATGCGTTTTATGTTTGTGTGCAATAGAAAGAACGGTGATGGATTATTAGTGTTATTGATCGTTTTGAGTTGTTCTGAAAGTTTCATTTCATGAAACATAAAAAGTGCAATGCCCTATTTGTTTCCTCTCCTTCACATCCTCCCTCCCTCTCTGTCTTCCTATTGGCCCCAGGCAGAACAATTAAAAGTTTCTCAGGTCTTTCTCACCCAATGAGCCGCATGATGAGAATCTGCTCGTTAAACTAGAATCCTCATCTCCTGCATCTATCTCTGTCTGCCGTCCTCGTCTTGGCTCTCTCCATCATCTTCTCCCTCTCCTTCATTGCTTTCTGTCTTTATCATCTTTCTCTTTCCTTGTTTACTGTCGCTGTCATTTCCCTCTTTGCTGACATTTGTTTAACAACTATTTTTGCTTTGTTTCCTTTCTTCTGCTGTCTTTCATTCTGTGTTTATTGACTCAATCTAATGTTCAAACAGTAGTGAGTCTATCTTTTATTTTTTCTCTTTATACAGCACTCTGTCATTGCTTCACCTCTTCACTAGCTTTACTTATTTGCTCTTTATTCTTATTTATTTGTACTTGTCGTCTTCCTTTCTGTCCTGGTCTTTCCTGCATCCCCTCTCAGTTAGTGTTCCCTTTCTCTAGCTTTTTTCTCATCCCTTTTTATTCATCACTCCCTCAGTCAGCAGTTTCCTCGATCAAGTCCCCTCAACAGTTATTTTACTCTTTACATTTCTACTACATCTTACCCAAATGTCTTTTATTATTATTATTTGTCATTTATCATAATATTAGTTATTGTTATTTCTTTATTATCTCATTCAGCATCTCTTTACCTCATAAGTAGAAATAGTGAAAAGCGACTGGAATTTTTTGTGGCTGGTGTTTTCCCACAGATCCCCAAAACACTTCTACTGATTGGTGGAGAGTCCCAGGCTCCAACTTGATGTCATGTGACGTTTTTTAGGTTAAATGTGGGTCGCTGTAGAGTCATCGCTCATTACCTCTTTAGTATTGCCCAGCATTATTTCTAACAAAGGATTTCCCGTTTGAAATGTAAGTTGATCCTACCGCTCCACCTCTGTTTCTTAACTCTGCTCGACATGCATCTTAATGTTAGTTTGTGCTCATCATGTAATCCTGAACCTTCACTCCTCCCTTGGCCCATTGCCCTGTCACCTTCCCCCCGTCTGTGTCATGATGTCTCCCCTCTCTGCATGTTTATCTCTCTTTCTCCCCATGAATGTGTCTCACTGGGACACACACACACACACACTGAGATTATCCTTTGATCCTGCCTCAGCACTGTAGCACCATCTTGAGGCCCACAAAGATAGACGTGTGAAGGCAGCGCTCCACCTCTCTTTTCTCTTCCTCCGGTTATTTTTAGAGCTGTCCAGATATTTTTAGCTCTGTGTTGCCATGTGAACTGGTTGTCACGGAGACCAAGGAGACAGGTGTTCCGATGCAGCGCTGACATCAGTTTTACATTTTCCTTCTTTCTGTGTCAAAGTCGGAAGCATTGTGTCGACAGGAGGGGAAGGAAGAAACACGCTGTCACAGCATTATTGTGCAGCGAAAACAAAATGTCTGAACACAATAATCGGGGATTCATATAGAAACATTATAGAAATAATGAATAAAAGAAAGTAAACTTTTAGCTTCATCTAGTTTTAAAATATATGGCTTAAGCGATAAAGCAATAAACAATCAAAGCAAGGAAGATATTCGGTACAATACAATCAACATACTTGACAGCATGTCAAGTTCAGTTCCTGAATAAAATCTTCAGTTCCTGAATAAAATACATTTATACTATTGAAGACCTGCTGATACACATCAACATGATAGTTTTGCTACTTCTTGTGTCTGAATTTAAATCTAATCCTCTTCTTTCTTCCAGGGTCTGAGCATCATCTTCAATGTAGCGCTGGCCCTGCTCAAGGTTAGTTCTCACTTTCATTCATTAATTTATCTGTTACCAGTTTTCATGTCAAAAACACAATTTCAATCGTGTTTAGTATTGGATCCCCTTCGCTTCAAAAAGAGAATTATATATTCATTTTATTTTGTGTACCAAAGATAAACCCATGGGGCTTTAAGAAAAACAAGGTCTTGACATTTGTCTTTACATTAATTGCAAGTAAACCGATCAAGACGGTAGTTACGCACATATCAAAGTGTGGCGAAGCATGATTGTGCAGAAGAGGCATTGTGTATGAGGAGGTGCGTTAAGTCCTTTAGGTCTGAAGAGATTGGAAGAGAAGTGATAGTTAGTTTGTTGGCATTTCTTGCCCCCTAGTGCTCAAATCAGAAACTGCATCTGTAAGTGAGGAGGCTCATTTGTAGGTAAAGACTCAATATGTTAAATATCGTGTTTAATCTGATGCAGCATGTGTCACAACAGCAAGGGAAACCTTTCAATGTTTAATTTCACTATTATTTTGTAGTTTATGTTTTGAGTACTATACGAACTGGCTCTATTGTAATAATGTTTTTAATATGCACCCACACCGCCCTCAGCTAAAGTTTCTAATGTATTTATACATTATATACAGTTATTGATGCATACAGGGTTTCCATGCAGCTCTCCCCAGAGGTTGATAAAGTAATGTATCATTTATATTCAGAAAGGTAATTTTCCATAAAAAAAAACATTGGTGGTGCAGCAAAATGGAAATATAGGCACACACACTAAACAATATATAGACATTAAACACACAATACAAAAAAAGAAAACTCCAGAATGAAAGGTGTTACAACAAATCAACGTATAAGTGTAGTTAAAGAAATCTAAAGAAAATATCTCCTTGAGTTTTTTAAAATGGATAAATAAATTAAACGTGCATGTTGTTGCTGTCAGAGCAGAATGGTTTAGAATTACTAGTTGTGTTATCAGATCCATTTGTGGCCGGATGGATTGGTGTCTGCTTGGTCAATGGGGTCATTGATTTGATGGGACAGTGCTTGTGCAAGTCATGCTGAAACTGGTATTGTAGTCCGTCTTTTTACTAAAATAAAATAATCAAATCATTTAGCATCATGTTTGTTTGATAGTTTATGTCGAACTTATCTGTAAAAAAAAAAGTACTATCTTCTTCTTTTAGAAAAATAATATTTTCTTACTCATATAGCTAATGGAAATCAGGCAAAACACGGGTAATATCACGCTGAAGTGTAATTCTCAGGTAGAAAAAGATTTTTAGTAGTTTCCAACAGTAATCATACTATCAAGTGTTTTACTACTCAATCTTCTGCGTCACTTCCCCAAAAACATGGCTACTTATAAAACCATTTTCAACCATAATTAGATATCTTTAGATATTCTTGGTCCCCCAATCAGCTCATAAGCAATAATATGTCCAGTCAATTTATTTATTTTATTTATTAATATAAGTTTTATATTTGTCAGATCCTCAAGTATTTTGCTTCTTTACAGATGCCGATTAACAAATAGATGGCAAAAAAATCAGTAGATGGAAAAATAGCCTCACGGTAAACATAAACACACCAGCATATCATTAAACAGAACTACATAAAGACTGATTAAGCCAATCCAATGTTTGCAGATTGGCTCATGATGTTTATAACAAAAGAAAATGTACTGTCTTACGTAGATATGCAGCTACACTCAGGCTTTCCACTCTAAATAAATCATCCATGGTTGGTTTTTAAAACATCCTCCTGCTCTTTAGCTTAGCGATAATGTACTCTGTGTGTCAGACAGAAAGATGTGGTGCATGCGATGGTCGGGAATGGAGAACAAATGAGGATTTGAGGAGGGTGGTTGAAGGGGCTTCCGCTGCCTGCCTGTCATTGGCCAGGCATGACGGCATTCTCCCCCGAGACTCCCTCCTCCATCCATCCTGTTCTCCTCTCTGCTCTCATCCCCCCTCCCTCCATCTGTGTGCAACTCCCTCCCTCTCCTGCTTAGCAGTCGCTATCCACATCACAACAGGAGCATAAGCTATAGCGTTAGCAATCTGGACCTGTTTTTTTACCATTTTTTTCCTCTTCATCTGTACCTCCCATGGATGCTTTCCGAGAGCTTCTCACCCACAGTTCTTCATTCTTTGTCTTCTCTACCTGCTATTGCTCTACCTCGCTGGCTATGCATTTCTTCAACACGCTACCTCTGTCCACCACCCAGACCTCTGCAATGGAGCCGCCCCTGTTAGCTGCTAGCCGTTAGCTGTTAGCATAACAAAGAGAAAGTGAGAGGTAGAGAAAGCGAGGAAGGCTGAGAGAGAGAAAACGAGAGAAGCCGTGGACAGGAAACACTGTGTGGTTTCTTTGCATCGCCTCACCCCAGCTGCTGGCCAGGACCATCACTCTTGATAGCACAACATACACACTTAGCCTCACAGTTGAGAGGCAGAAGTGACTTTCCATTTGAAGGAGCTGACTCCCATCTAAAGGATCTACTGACCGATACAGACCGGATGCCTGGCTGCTGCTGATGAAAATCTGCCGGAGGGACAGACAGACAGACATTGGGGTCCATGCTGGAGCTGATGACTGGACTGTGCTTTTACTGCTCTATGTGGTTTGGATCTGGTCAGACTTCAGATCAGAGGGTTATTTCAGTGAAGAGCAAAGACACAGGGAGGCTATCGTGATACACTTTCATGCATCATTGGCTTACATCTGACGCAACAAGTTCAGCATCCACTGAGCCATAAACGAACACAAATGCATCATCATCTCCTGAAGGCAGAAGAGTGCCATCCACCCATGCAAACAGACCACATCTCGTCTGCTTCTGCCTCGTCATCAGGACCGCTGGCTCAGGCTTAGACTGGGGCTCCTCAGATAAAAGGATTCATACTGTTATTTCAGGCCTTTCTGCATTTCAAAGAAAGCTAAAATCCTGCGCTTTGATGTTTCGTCTCACATGTTTCGTCTCACACGCCGAGCCTTGAGCATTAAGGCCACTCGGTTGCGCAGACAGAGGGAGATTTTCTCTCCATCTTTGAACTCTTACCAACGAAGGAAAAATAAAAAAGGTGGAGTACTCAGCCATCGCTGCTGTTTGCCTGAGCAGCGGTCCGCCTGAGCAGCGGTCCACGTGTTGAGCAGCTTTGTTGCTTGGCAACAGCGTACTGGATTGGAATTGGTTGGGGGAGTTTGGCACGGGACGATGAGAGTGGGTAGTGTGACTGGATTTCAAAGGGAATCTGGCATCAGGTAGCATTATGCCGAAAGCAGCGTCAACACATCATTTTCTGACTGTTATTTCGTGGCACCTCGTTACCGGGCTCTGACAGTGGTACAAGCTGAGTGGCCTCCACTGACGCCTTGTCCACTAAATTCTGTGTTGCCTCTTTGAACTGGATCAATGTTAACGATGCATGCCTTGGATGCCTGGTGCTGTCTCTGCTGAGTGGCTGTGTGTGTGTTCCCGTGATCGTCTCTTCTTTCCGAGCTGGCGTCCTGAACATCAGTCTGTTGTGACACTGACATTATCGGCATCTCTTCTAAGACGGTAGAAGAAGACAGCGACCTCGAGACGGATCTCGGCTCCCCTAAGTTGAACACAGTCTGCTCCCAGTGCAGCTGTCCTCAAACTCCAAGAAACCCACTGGGACGTTCGGACGACACGCTGGAGTCATCTGCCACCCTGGCCCCGGAGCGGGACCGCCCCTCTCCCTCACCCTGCCCCACCCCGCCTCCATCCCCTCCTCCCTCCCCTTCCCCCATGCCTGCCTTGACCACGCGTCTGCCCCTTCCAGCAGTGCGCAGGGCGGTGGAGGAGGGAGAGGGAAAGTCGGATGAGGGGGCCCAGAGCAGTCAGGCCTCAGAAGACTCGTACTGCAAGGTGATGGATCTCCTTGGGATGGGACACCGGCTCTTCGTCCCTAAGTTGCTGGCGGTGAGAGAAGGGGACTGGGAAACAGACACCGGATGAAAGAAACTGAGCATGCAGTGATGATCGGGTTTAGAGATAGAAAAGGCACGGTTGTTAGTTTGACTTGTGGTGATAATGGAAAGATCTACTTCTGATGTGGACTTTTCTGAACGTCACACTGGATAGATGTGCCAGCCAATTGCCTAAAGATGTATTTTATAGAGATGGCTAGCCTGTTAGCTTTCTGCTAAAAAACTCGGAGTCTTAAATGAAAAGATTCATATGGAAATCTCATACGAGATAAAGGGACACTTGTCCTCACTGTCTCCTATTGATGCTGACAAGAAGTTTTATATTTCATAATTTACCATCACAAATGAAACAGCCCAAACACTTTTAAAAACATGCATACAGACGTGGTCTTTGAGTAACAGTTTATCAGCCGTACACATTACGTATAGTCGTGTCTCTGGTTAGAGTCTACAATTCATCCTTACACCACACGATGGTGTTATTGATTGTTATTGACTCTGATTCATGTTCAGCCACTGAGCCGCCCCTTGAGTGTTTTGTGTGTGGCATCTTTACACGTGTTTCCAAACAACTCACTTTCCCGTCAATGCTCTCTGCTCTAACCTCTGTATCTTGCAAGAGTAATGTAATTCAATAATTCTAGGTGGACTGTTATTTTTTTGTTTTGTATTTAAGGCACTACGCTTTTGCGCTCTATGATTTATATACAAGGTCAACATTAAAATAACCTTGAGTGATATATTGAAATAACTGTCCTTTGTCTATCTCTCTTCTCCACCACTTCTTCTCTTCTCCCAACTCCGCATGTCTTGCTCCAGACGTCTAAAGAGGACCTCTTGCAGGCGGACTTTGAAGGGGCTCTCAAGTTCTTCAGAGTCCAGCTTCCAAAGCGCTACAGAGCTGCAGAAAACGCCCGCAGGCTTATGGAGCAGGCCTGCAACATCAAGGTAAGGACCTATCCCCAAGCCCTTTATTCCTTACTTACACCATATGTGAATACCAACTTTAATGGTATAAATCATGACATGCCTGAAAAAATCAAATACAAACTGTTGTTAATGTGTGTTCAAACGCACACACACAAACCCATTATTCCTGGAGTGACTATGAGTTTATTATACGAGTCCAACCAACACAATGAGGAATTCTTGTCTTGGCATCTCCCACTGAGACACAAATACTTTTAACCAGAAGGGTGAGAGGTCCCGGAGCATTTTAAGTACAGTTTTGTCTGTTGTGGCTATTAAATGGTTGTACTGTCTACCACAGTGACATCCCTGATTTGTCCATGAAACACTAAATCTCAGGTGTAATAGTTGAGCTGTTAATTGGTATCCTCTATTACTGTTTCTATCTCTTTTCTGTCTGTGAATTTTGATTATTATGTTGAATTGCCCTGTATTTTACAGAGAGATAATAGCTGTCAGTTTAAAGGAATACAGGGGGAGGGACTGTGATATCTTGTCTTTTACCTTAAGTCATTTCTTTGTCTCTTCAGGCATGGAGGTGCTGCTCTATGCTATCTTATTCTGTGTATTCCAAAAAGCAATAAAATGCAAAAACATGAATTTCTGTGCCACAGAAAAGGAGCTATCACACAGCGAATGTTTAGAACAGGAAAAGCTTTTATGCTGGTTGGACCTCTGCTGTGTTGGAGAGGCCTGGCGGAGAGGGGAGGATAAGTACTGCATATAAACAGTAATTTACCACAACAGTGTATCAAATGACAATGTAAAAACACTGTGAAAGGGTATAAACCACTTGTCTTTAGAGAGCTCATTATTCAGCTATATACTGTATATATCTACTGTGTTGGTTCACTCTCACTGCTCTCATAGCGTTGTTTTTGGCTGCAGGCGGCTATTTGCACTGCACACTACTTGCTCAGTAGTTTTGCAGTTTAACGTATAGTTTAGTTGTGTTTTTTATATTTATTCTTGCTGTTTGTTTGCTCTGTTTTTATCAGTCTTTCTTCTATTCTGTTTATTGGTATGGACTGACAACAGCAGATAAAAGATGGCTTCCATAGTTTTCTTCAAATGTTACCAGGTTGTGTGGTCACAAAAATGTCCTTACATGCACGCACACACACACACACACACACACACACACACACACGCATCTCGTTATCATTCTCCATTCAACCTTAATGAGGCTGCTGGCATTTCGGGAATTTGCTGAGGTCACCAGAGACTAGCAGCAGTTTTGTGTGTGTGTGTGTGTCCGTCTCCGTCTGTCAGTCAGTGTCAGTAGAGTGTGTTGTAATAGAGGAAGGAAAGAGTCGACTGAGAAAGATGGAAGAGATAATCATCCTCCTACCACCACCCTCCTCTCTTTCACTCGCCTGCTCACTCTTTCTCTCTCCATGTCTCTCTTTATCTACATACAACTAATATTTTACATTTCAGGCATTTTTCATCTTTATTATCTAAAATATTTTTCAGTGAGTACCCAGGTTGTGATATGGTGTGTTGTGTTCAAGGGCGTATTGGCCAGACACGTGTCTTTAAGTGCTTAAGATCCCCCGTGTTTGGTATGATTCTGTGTTTTTCTACATACAGGATATCCTGCACTGTTACTCACCGTTTATCTCTAGTGGTTTGGTGGCATTTTGGCACTCTTGCACAATCTTGTTGAAATGCAAAGCATCATGTCAGGCCTTGTGTTGTACAAGAGCGCACACACACCCAAACATGTACTGTACTGTACATGCTCACTAACTGAAATACACACACTTTCCAGGCATAAACACACAAATTCATGAATCTCAATCCCCAGCATTCCTCCTCAACATATTCCCCTTTTCTGTGTTATTATTAATATGATTATGCTGATGAAGCTATTTAACACATTGATCCAAACTGTCCCATAGATGTTCAACTGGATTTTAATCTGGTGAATGTGAAGGCCATATGCATCAAACCCTTTCCCCCTTCTATTTGTCCCCTGTCTGTATGGGGAAACACATTCACAGGATTATAAACTCACACACACACACACAAGAAACAACTGACTAAAGTGTCATCAAAACACAAATACCAAATGAAAAGACTAATAGAGACTGTTCTCAGGTGGGTGAACTGAACTAGAACAGGTAGTCTGTCTCGTAGGATGACTTCGCCTCAGGACAGAGGAACGCTTTGTCTTTCTCCAGGTCACTCTTCTCTTGGCACTACCTTAAACATTATTCTCTCTAGTGAGAAAATACTGAACACATCCTAATAGCCAAGGTTTACACATCAAAACTGTGTGTTGGAGTCTGAGATCTTTAACTACTTATCCTCAAATACATCTTTCTTCTGCCGTGTTTTTAAGCCAGTTACTCTTTTAACTTTCAAAGTAGAATATTCCCTGTGGATATAAATACATAAGTCAGCCAGAGGGAGGAAAATAATAAGACTGAAGTGGAAGGAAAAGGAACAGAAGAAAGAGTCTTCCGTTCCTTCCACTTCTCACTTTCCCCCAATGTTTCTACTGACCATCTAACCGACCCAGACGAATACACCAACAGATCCCAGCTTGTCACACCAGCTTGTGACTCGCCACAGTAGAGACAGTTCTCTCTCTGGAAGAGTCGTGGAAGACCGGCCATGTTCAAACACCATCAGAGAAAAGGGGGGAAACCAGCCTGTCCAAGTCACTTTGCTCTCTGTTCACCCCCCTTTTTTTTTTTTTACATATTTTTCTCTGTCAACGTCTAAATCCGATCAGCTGAACTCTGTAAGCTGCTTAAAACATCGAAAGAATTCCTTGGCTTGATTAACACAATGGGCAGTAGGATGACTTAGCCCTTCTGGGGATTATGGGAAGAATTTGAATTTCTCAGCCTTCTTAAACATCCGCCCGACCGCGCAGCCGGAGTGATGACTTTTCGGGACTTTAAGAAAAAAGGAGCGAGAGATGTCGTACATTCATTTGCCGCTCAGGGTTTGACTGATAAATCCGGAGAAGCTAAACTTTAACAGACTGAGGAGAAAGAAGATAGAAGGATGTGAGCAGAGAGACCGACAGAATAATGTACAGAGACGTAAAGATGTAGAGTCCAGGAGAGAGAACTATGGATGGATGAAGACTCACACAGACCATTTGGTGAAACCGGCCTCGGGTGTTTAATGAACCTGCTTGCTAATTGGAAAAACAGTTTGATGATGTCATCTAAGCTAACTTTTATTAAACTTCAACAGAGAGGGCCAGATTTACAGAGGAAGTAAATGCTGCTAAATTAACACTTTAAGTGTCATAATAAAAGAGTAAACTCCTAGTCTAGAGTGATTTCACCGTTCAATAAATGAAGTTTGGAGCACACAAAATAGCTGATTGATTTTATCATTTCCACTCCCTTATTTTTTGAGCTAATTAAATCATTATTGTTATTATTTAAGAAATGTTGTTTTATTAATATGTCCCTTATATTATTTATGCATTATTAAATACAGAGACGCGTTGTTGTTGATGCATCTCCTCCAACAGGGGAATCTGTTGCCATCCACAGAGAGGTCGTCAGGTAGTTTTTAGCCGTGGGCTCTTATGGGAGGACAGTACAGTATTCAGGCACAGTCGAGGACAGCCTTGAAGTTGCTTTCACTTCCTGGGTTTTACTGTTGGAACGATGTGGAACTATGAACGATTCATCACTGTGGTTGATCTCACAACTTCCTTCCTATCTCTCTTTAACTCAAACACACACACACACACACACACACTTAGTGTAGATGTGTAAGCAAGCCTTTATCTTTATTTTTATCAGCAGCAGGAAACAGAAAAAAAACGAAACCCCCTGAGTGCAACCTTAAGAGAGGGAGGGAGGCAGAGAGATGTTATAATGAGAGACGTTAAGAGAGAGAGGGGGGGGGGAAGGACTCACTCAGTGGAAAGGAAGAAAAAGCAAACTCATCATCCTTTGTCACACACGTCTAGCGTTAGGGAGAGGGAGAAAACAAACAGGTGTGTTGTACTACGCTCTCGCTCCCCCCGCCCTCCTGCTCTCAGTGGGCGGGGCTCGGCTCCTGAGGGACTCTTGAAATCAGCCAGTCGCCTCCTTCACTCTCAGAGAGAAACCCAAACCTGTCAGCTGCACTCCCTTCCTTCCTTCTCTGCCACTTTTCCTCCTTTCTCGTCTTCTTCTTCATCCTCTACCTCCTTGTTATTGTTGGGAGCAAGAGGACGTCAAGATGATGCAGGAGGTGTCCATAATGGTGGCATACGACGCTCATGTAGTCGACCGACCGGGTGAGGAGGACACACTGACTCGCTTGATCGCCCACTCCAGACCTCTAAGAGCGCCCAGACCGGTGGTAGGTCTGTCCTTTGGTCATTACGCTTGTCTTTGTTTTTTCGTCGTTGTCATTCTCTCTCTCTCTCTCTCTCTCTCTCTCTCTCTCTCTCTCTCTCTCTTTTGTTCCTTCGTACATCCCTCTCTGTGTATTGGGTGTATTCCTATTTAACTCTGATGGGAGACATTCCCAACTTTTCCCTCTGACCGTTATCTTTTGTAGTTTTTAGATAAGAGAAATGGAAAGAGGAATGCACCTGCATCAATCTTTTCAGTTGTTGGTTGTTTTTGTAGTCTTATTTTCTCAATTTATTATTTTTCTCTTTTTTATTTTGGCATTTCTTTGCAATTGTTCATAAACGGGTAACAAAAGTTAGATTTCACAGAAACTAACGACGTGTTTCTTTCCATGAGGTCGATGATGTAGACGAGTGTGTGTGAGTGTGTGAGTGTGTGTTGTGTTCCTACTGAGAGTGATGTTTGAGGTTACGGAGCTTTTTCAGTCACTCGTTTGCAGCTGTCAGTTTGTTTCAATTACTGATACAACTTTGGAATCAATCGGTGTGTGTGTGTGTGTGTGTGTGTGTGTATCACACATGGGTAATTGAATTCCATGGCCTAGTTTTTTTTTACGAGATGTCCAGTTGGTTTTGTCCTTATTTTAATATTCAAACTCTTGGACTGCCATGTGTAATGGCAGATCACCAATAGCTCACACACACACACACACACAGTCTTGTTCAAGTAGTTTAATACCCAATATAACTTTACAGCGTGTGATCTCGGCTTGGAGGTTTGGGACCAATTCCATTTTCTGCTGCAGGGATTCAGGTCAGGAATCTATAAGTGGGCCTGGTACCATTTCCTGCGGCACCAGGCGTCTTTAATCACATTACCTGAATCAGAGTGGCCCCTCTGTCCTCAAACTACTGGCCTTCGATATTTACACTGAAAGCGTAGCACGTATGAGGATGCATCAGCAGGTTTAAACCCTGTAACTGCAAGCATGCATGTGTTTATCAGCAACCATTTCAGCTTTCTGTCTGAAGTGGCCTTGAGCGTGATGCTGAGCACTGCACACATGCTCACTAGTTTTAACTCAGTAGAGCATGACGTTTGAGGTGTTTTCCTGAAGGGGAAAGTCACCAGGAATGTCTGAATATATTAGGGGGCGTTTGACACTTTGGATAAATATATCATCATAAAATATCAATGTACAGGGCAGCAGTCTCTCTGAAGGCAGGTCTAAAGTCAGGGAGATTTGTAATCGTGTCCTTTTGTAGAATATATTTCGCAACATGTTTACATATTCATTGCATCAGATGGTTTTCAACTAGAATGACAACCAGACCAAAAAGCATCAACAAACTGGGGGGGGGGGGGTTATAGAAAGCTCAGGGTGTTGGGGATCCTGTGTGATTGAAGCTGTAGTGGGTCTGTATGCTTGAATAAAGGCCTCGCCTCTATCTGGTAGCCTTGTTCTGCATTGCGTTTCATTACACAGGCATGCTTTAGTGTTTGTGTGTTTTAGGGGTGTTGGAGAGTTGCATAATCAGTAGCTAGACTTCAGCTTGTCTATCGATGATTCCTGTTTTAATGTGCAACTCAAAGGGAACAACACTTAAACACGACTGGTTTTACATGTAAAATACAAAATTACATCAAGTGCACATCACCTAATATAAGCAACCAAGTGGTTTTCTTAAAACTTAATTCCACGTGTTTAATTAAGTGGAAAATTGAATGAATTCGTTCTTACTGGCAGTTTGGGTTTGGGTCTACAGTGTCAAACCATCACATCACAGACAGGAAGCTTGGAAAATACAACACAACCAGTGGGTTAGATTCTTTTAGAAGAATGCTTAAAGGCCATGAATGAGCGTGTGAGAGGAGGTGAAAGCACAAGCGAGAGGTGGGTTTGAGGAACGTGTGGGTGTGTTCCAGTCACAAAATCAAAACGGCAAATCTGAAGGCGTTTAAAATCTCACGTCTCTCTCTCTCTCCGTCTCTTGTGCATTACTTTTGGGTATTAATGTGGGACTGTTTCATGCACACATGTCTCAACACACACAAGTGGGCTGAGAGGGAAGCTGGTGCTTGAATATTGTTTTGTTGTGTATCACAAGTAAATGTGTCAGAGAAGCGAACAAAAGAGACCACATCTACTGAATCAAATAATCGTTTAAGGCCTGCGCTGGTTGTGTTGTATGTTACAAATGTTCTTATCTACTAAATATCAACTCTTACGAACCACCAAGAAGTAGGAAAAACTAAGATTCCCAGCAGCCTGCTGGGTCACTTCTAAATCTACAGCTGAAGATGAAACATGATGAGTGAAGTTGAATTCATTAATAGGTTGTTGGCTGTGTAAGTGGATGTGTTGGTGCCTGAAGGGGAACACCACATTCAATGGTTTTGTTACAATAAAACATCTTTTACTAACCAGTCTGCAGAGACCAGGCTGCTCTTTCTTTGTGCACAGATAACAGAATGAGTCTGAGGTCTGGTATCTGCTGGTGTGTCCCATAGATTACAGCGGGGCATTCATCCACCACCGTGGGTCCTGGGTGGTAGAAGTCAAGAGTCAACCAACAGGTCACTGAGGAGGACAAGTAATGACTGCTGGTGTGAATAAGCAGCGTGTTCAGTTTCCCTCATCTATTTGGTTATTAATGGAGGAAATCTGTTGTACAATTCTTATCTTATTAACTTGGTTATCAGGGCGTTTTATTTACTCATTCTCCAGGATGTTCTTCATTTATCACCATGACGTTTTTTATTTTAGATTAGATTTAACTTTGTTGTCATTGCACAGAGTACTGAGACAACAAAATTCAGTATGTGCGGAAAGTGTGTGTAAAGTCAAAACACTGTAGATTTCAAGCCCCTTTTTAATTCGACTCAACTGGCTGACGTGTAATTCTGTTGTTGTCGAACTTTTACAATACAAAACTAGTAAATTATGACCATATCCCAGTGATGGACTAGAAAAAGACCAAATCGCTGTTTGTAAAGAGCTGTGACTGTATATAAATGTGTATATATACACATAGACGGTATAAACGCATAATAATAGTGTGAATAAGTGTCATTTATTGTTATTGTGTCAGATCTGTTAACACCAGACTGGAGCAGACATTAGTTTAATTCAAAGTTATACAATCAGGAAGGATGGATATTTATTGATTCCCAGTGGCAAACTTCAAAGTTTCAGAAGACAATATCACTAAATGCTCAATTAAAGCTTAAAATAATCATCTATGACATTCAAAAACACTGCACTCCCCTGATGGCTTCAAAGCAGCTGTGATCCGACCTGTGCCGAGGTTATGAAAGCTCTTGTATTGGTTGTTCCAAACACTGACTCTAAACTCTTGTAACATCTTTCTGCCATGTAAGAAGTGAATCATTTTATGTTTCTAGTTTGTTTAGTATTGACAGCAACAAAGTAACAAAGCATATTTAAACAAGTTTGTACTTATGAGTTATTATTCCGTTTTCTTACCACAGTTTCATACATAACATGACGCATGCAAGACACACAAAGAGTAAATAGCAAACAACGGCACCCATAGTAGCAAATTAGGTACTTGAGTCGACACACACACGGCAGTCTCGGAGGAGGGGGGGGTCATGTGAATCCTCAGCCCTACTGGTGGGTGCTATGGCAATGCTGTTTCCACACAGGGGAGATAACATTACCACCCACCTGAAGCACACACACACACACACACACACACACAACCACAGATGCAGTTCAGTCGGTCATCTTTGTTGCCTCATGCTGCTTGTTTAAAAGTTATTTTCAGAGACCGTTACAACAAACAGAAAATGTTTTGCTTACAAACTGAATTTCCTGTTTTGACAGATGCATTATGTGGTATGTTCACGTGGATTTTACTTCCAAGATGCAGATTTAGATTTTCTGTTTGCATTGTTTGTTGGTTGCCGTTTACACAGTTTGCACAGTTTTGCACTTTACAGGAAGGGCGGCATAGTGTTTACTGAAAGAATCTGCATCGGTAGCATCACAGTGGGGCGAATTGCTCATCTTGTTGGCTTTCATTAGCAAATGAAACGTGTCCGTACGTCATCCCAGTTTCTGTTGGAAACTGAACGACTCTCGGTCGTGTAGTTTGCAGTGTGACCTGAAAGCTTCTGTTGTCTGAGAAGAATTTGTAGAATAAAGGCGTCTGGCTGGTTTGCAGTCAAAAGTACTGTAAATGTGCTATTAGGTCTCTTGATCTTCCGAACCTTATCTTGTGTGAAATGTAGAGAACAACATGTACTGGTCATGAACGTATATAGAGCAGATACAAAATAGAAACTGAGCAGCACGAACCACAAAACCACAATGTTTCAGCAGCAATATTCAGAGTTAGTTGTTAGTTTTGAGTTTGTGTTTCAAGGATATCTGTCTGTGTTTTAACTTCTGACCCTTTCAGTTTGTTTTAGTGTTGGTTATCAATCAAAACCGAAGCTTTTTTTTCCCACATTGAGTAAAGACATCCTGCATTAGTACATATTTGTGACGAGCCCTATTGAATACATACTGTAGTATAAACATATGAGTGGTACTGGAACTTTAGAATCATGTCCAAGTGTCCATGAGCATTGACTCCTACTTAGTGAATTAAATTGGTGCATTTGTGTCGAGGAGAAGGCAGGAAAGTCACATTATTGGTGAGAGAAGTAGGTTGTTAGACAGTTGCTAGTTCGAATCCCACTTTAAGCCAGAAACGAGACATCTCGGGGGCAACAACTGAACATAAGTTATAGCTTCACTGATCAAGATTAAAAGCCAAAATATTGCCTTTTAATCCAGACTTTTCTCTCTCAGAATAATGGACGGTGCCGAGATTTTTTCAGGCAGCTTTGAGTGCACGAGACTTGAATTAATGACATCTTTTCTGTTGTTTTTTTAGGTTCCAACGAAAAAGCTGAAGAAGTTTGAGAAAGAATATCTGACACTGAGAGAGAGCCAGCTGCAACAAGAAGACCCCATTGACCGATTCCAGGTAGGGGACACACACACACACACACACACGTTAAGATATAAGATATCTTACTTTTCTTACATAAGTTACTTGTAATACATTCTTTTATCTGCCCACCAGGTGGAGAAGTTAAATGCACCCATCCCCTTTTTTGTACCACATTACAGAAGCACATGCAGTGTATTCATGTGCGAGCTACCTCGTTACCTGTACATGTTCATTAGATTACTTCTCAGGTAGTGTTCAGCTCTATAGATGGTAAGAAAGCGCTTGGCTCTTTGATATATTTCAAAGTTTGTCATGTAGTAAGTATTTGCTAAAATTAGCCATGTTTCTAATATTAGACATCTCCTGTGAAAACGATGTCGTTGATATGTGTGACACTGTTCTGGCTGGAAAAAAAAGACTTCTCACACATCACAGGCTTTTTTTCATTATCAAACATCGATAACATTTATTTTTGGGCGAAGCTGCCGAGGTGTTTTTGGCTGCTGAGAGTGACTTTATCTTCAGAGGGTAAGAACAGGAGAGGTGAGGCAGATAGTTAGACATTCACACAAACTCAAACTGCCAACAGACGGCATCTTTGCTCTATTGTATCAGGATTTCTGTCCTTTCCTCTTGGTCCTCTTTAAATCAGTCATTTTTGTTTTTCCAAAATCAGCTTAGGGAAGAGAATAATGATTTTTCTTCCAAATTGCCCTGAACTGTGAATTGTAGTTAATCTCTCTTTATACCCGCTGCTCATTTAATTTGGAAAGTATACATCTTTTTTTAAGTAGTGGACATATTCTAAGTTAGAAATGTTGTACTTTTGCTGTAACAAGAAGTTTTGAACAGTTTACAGTTAAGTTTTAAAGTAAAGGCCCATTTCTTCCCTTTTGACCCTCACCTTCATAATGTAATGGATTGGTGTAAACATTTAAAACCTGGGTCCCTGTTTCATTGTTTCCACCTACCTGTAAGCCATATTTCAGATGTATACTGCTCTGACCTTACAAGGCAAATAAACATCCATTTGGCCTTAATTGAATAGACTTTAAAATGCTTGAGTTTCTTAGTTTATTCAGTTGTACTTTTACTTAAGCATTGGAAAGAGGAAAGTAAGGAGAGGCAGAGTGAGGCTAGGAAGGGAAACTCCGGATCATGCGTTAATGTTTAGTGTGTGCTGCTGGAGGCTCGATATGAACACGTTGTTGTTGACTGTGTGACTGTGGACAGCAGCACGGTAAGCTACCTCTGTTCCAAAAAGGATTTTAACATGAGAGATTTCGTTCAGGATCTTAAGCTCTACAGATCTACAGCATTCACTAATCTTGATTGATTCATCCCGGACATTAAACTTGGGTATGTGAGATTTTATATTTATTAGTCATATATTTTTTTATTTTGCCGATTGCTGTTTATTAGCCATGTTGACGTAGACTGTTTAGCAAGATGTTTAAAGGTAGAGTGTGGAATATTTTAGTGTAAAGACTCAGATGTCTCATCACATTAAAACAAAAACAAAAAACACACTCCCACACTAACGAAGACGCTGTAGGTCTTTCCTCTGTTTGCCCAAATGAAACCCGTCACCTCTCTGCTCACAGGAAGTGATTCATTTAATCTGAAGAGCGTCAAACAAACTGTCTCCAGAACATGTGATTGAGTGTGTGTCTAATGTGTATAGCTGTTCAGGCGAACGTTTATTTGTACTTTTTGATCTGCTTTGTTATACCGTCATTGTTATACATGTTTATTGATATTACGTAGGGGTGTGTGTGTGTGTGTGTGTGTGTGTGTGTGTGTGTGTGAGTAGTTAGGAGTAGAAGAGGTCATTGTTAGGGGGACAGGATATCAGCGTCAGGTGACAGCTCGTAATCGTGTCAACTGTCCCATTGAGGCATGGCCGTCATGTGAGACTGTTTACAGGCAGACCAGTAGTCATGAGACTCGACTAATGATCTACAATGCAGACTTTAAGATGGTGTGTGTCTTATTAGGTTTACAGGGCTGCAACAATAAATTGAGACTAATGGAACAAGGACCGCTGCCTTTTCCTGATCAATGAAAGCTTCTCTTTGTTTCAGATAGAAAGCTGTTTATTCAATTTCAGAATTTCAAACCTTTGGACATGTCGTATTGTTCTTACAAACCTGATTAAATGAACTACCTAAAAACACATTGTCAAGTGTATAGTGAGTGTGTTTGTCTTACTTCTGTTATCACAGTACTTTGTAGATGCTAAATGTTTGTTTAATTTACAGCTTCTGTCGTAAGATGTAACTAAAAAGTCACTTCTCAGAGACGTTCATCAAAAAGAGGCGTGTGCTCCAGAGTGCATTGAATATGTGATCCGTTTACGGCTTTGCATTAACACCACAGGCACTCATACATTGTCCAACTGCGTGTATGTGTTTGTCCAGAGGGAGAACCGTCGTCTCCAGGAGGCCAGTATGCGACTGGAACAGGAGAATGACGACTTGGCCCATGAACTGGTCACCAGCAAGATAGCCCTTCGGAATGACCTGGACCAGGTAACACGGCACGTTTTAACACGCACAATATAGTCTGCTTACTTTGTGTCAAAGCTGAATTCATTTATTCCTTGAGTCCGTATGTGTTTACATGTAGTATTTGTTCCTAACAGCCAACATTGGTTGTTTTAGGCATAGAGCTGACTGAGAAGGATAATATGCTCCAAATGCATATTTGAAGTGCGCTGCAACGAGCGATTAAAACATCCTTTCTTTGACAGCAACATAAACATCAAATGTACGCAGAAAAACATTTCCTCGTCTTTCCTGATATGAGCTTTAACTTAACAACTCGTCACACCACTGGAGGAATGCGGCTGTAGTGGGAAGTTGTCGGTGTGAATCTCTAGAACTGTATTAATGAGTTCATAGTACAGATTATCAAAAGTGCAATTGTTCCAGTGCGTCAAGATTTGAATGTGCTAAGGTTGCATATTTGGTACCAATTGGTGTGTGTGTGTGTGTGTGTGTGTGTGTGTGTGTGTGTGTGCGTGTGCGCACTCAGGCAGAAGACAAGGCCGATGTTTTGAACAAAGAGCTGCTGAGCACCAAGCAACGTCTGGTGGAGACAGAGGAGGAGAAGAGACGACAGGAGGAGGAGACCGCTCAGGTAACATCTGCACTCTGTTCACCGTCACCTAGTTAAGCTCCTTAACTGCAACCCTAATTGGTCTACTACCTCAATGATCTTGAGGTAGTAGAGTGACAGCTATGTTTATATTATTGTAATTTATTTATTTATAACTGTTTATGAGTCAACAAAGTATGTGTCCCTTGTGAAGTTAGCTTAATGGCTTCACTATGTTTGGCTTTGATTATTTTAAACTCCACTGAAAGTCCAATTTAGTAAACGGGCATGAGAGCGGGATGCACACCCTGCGCGCTGTTGTTGATTCGAGGTTATACACCCACGTATATTTTATTATTATGCTTAAAGAGAGACTCTTACAGTGTGCTATTTAACCACAGTCAGATAATGACTTGTATGTCTGCACAGTGGATGTGTGGTTGTTATAAATCCTTGCCACGGCTAATTTATCTCTCTGACATTTGCATATGTACAAACATTGTGTCACAGCGCTATGTCAGCTCACCCTTCTGTACAATTTATTGTTTTTGTCATCTTGTTTTGTTTTTCTCTCAGCTGAAGGAAGTGTTCCGGAGGGAGCTAGAAAAAGCAGAGCTGGAGATCAAGAAAACCACGGCGATCATAGTTGAATATAAACAGGTTGGAAAGTTTGAATTGCTTAAAACCATCTGCCGTATTTTAAATGAACATAAATAAATAAACATCTCACCCATTTGCTCTTTTACAGTCAGTGCATTGGACTTTAGGTTTTACAAAACCGTTAACTGCAAAGATTCGATTTTTTTGTTTTTATTCACACTGTTTCTGTAAGTGTTTTGTAAATAAAAAGGTCATATTATTGAAGATTGAACTACATACCGAAGACCAATGTTTTTTGTTTCTTGAATATGAGGAGATGTGCGAGTGTGAAAACAGTTTTGATGGAAAAGATCATAATGCTCAGTTGAGTTTTCCTCGAGAAACTCAAGTTTATAAATCTAAAATGTGTCCGTTATCTTGTAGTTCACATGTGTCGTCTCTTATGTAACCCAAAATCTTCAACTTGTTGCAGATCTGCTCCCAGCTGAGCACCAGGCTGGAAAAACAGCAGGCGGCAACAAAAGAAGAGCTGGACATTGTCCGGGTGAGATCCCACTGTTAATCCACAGCTACTGTAGCAGATGCAAGTTAGGAGACTTGTAAAAGAACAAATTAATTAACAAGACTGTGTTTTTAGTTCACTTAAGACAAGCCCAGGTCGGTACATTACCACACCTATAAAGAAATGATCCAGCACCGCTCGTTTAGCCCTTGTGGGTGTGACAGTGTATCAAAGAAAGACATCCGGACATTCTTCTTGATGTAATGTCTTACCAGTTGAAACAGGAAGTTGTAGTGGGACATAACACAGGAAGGGAATAATCAAAAGTCTTCAGGAGAGCGATACTGTAGTAAGTGTTTATGTATTACTTCCTCTTATGTCTCGGTGTTGGTTGGTTCACCACAGCATAAATGTGCTATTATTGACTGTTGTAGCATGTTAGCTTTGATTGATCTGAACTCAAATGTCTATACAGTATTTTCACCCACTAACCTCTGCTAATGCGCCCGCTTGTTTGTGTTCCCGTGCAGTGTAAAGTGATGGGCTGTGACCACTGTAGGGACCTGTTCACAACGCTGGGGTCCCTTCAGGCTTCGTCCCCTGGCAGAGACAGGACGTCCACCGAGCCGTTGGACGAGGAGAAGGACGGACTGAAGGAGCAGCTGAGGCACCTGGAGCTGGAGCTGGCACAGACCAAACTGCAGCTGGTGGAGGCCAAGTGTCGCATGCAGGTAAGCAGCTCCGAGAGGGACAGTGATATCAAAAACAATCATAATAACGGCTGCAGAGAGCTTTAGGGAATAGATATGAATAAAACTAACATTAAGATCTAAGTAGATATCACAAAGAATGAAACTGTAGTTTGCTTATAATAACAAAACAAAGACACCAAACACAAACGAGTCTAAAGCCATGCTCACGGTCATAAACCAAATTCTTGGACAAATTAAAATGTTGACCTGATAACGGCGCTAGATGACAAGTTATTGGATCATCAAAGTACATCTGTGCCAAATTTCCTGGCAATCCATCGAATCCTAAAGTATCAGAGAAATATCAACTTCATAACCTTAAAAACACCACATGATAAAGATGTCATACAGTAAATACAAAAGCACCTGAACCCATTCTAAAATAGAAGTGCATGCAACTGTGTATGTGACACTTAGGATACACAAAGAAGATAGTCCATTAAGTGTATTAGAGCACACAGGTGCGTTGGAAAGACCGTTGCTAATTTGAATCGGCAGTTGTCGTAAAGTGCTCATGTGTGATTGGAGATATGTTCTGTAGCTGGACGGGATGGATAAAGCGCTAGAAGACAGAGCCACATGACAAAGGGCAGTGATTTAGATGAGCTCCTCAGTCCGCCTCCTGCCAACTCCTCTCTGGTCCTCTTGTGTATTTGCAGGAGCTCGAGCACCAGCGGGGATTACTGATGAACGAGATCCAGGCGGCCAAGAACTCGTGGTTCAGCAAGACTCTGGGCTCCCTGAAGAGCTCTTCCTCCTCTTCCTCCAGCTCCACATCCCAGACCCCCTCCTCTCCAAAGGACGGCCCTGCCTAGAGGACCCTCCCTCCATCGCTCATTCCCCTGCAGGATGCACATTAGAGCTGAGGAACACAAGTTGAAGAAACAAGCAGCAGAGAAATGCAGTATTCCTTTTTCCCCAGCCGCTGGCACAGCAGAGCTCACCAGCTACTTGGACTGCATATATCTGAACGCATGAGGAGGAAACGGGCGGAGGACTGGACCTGCCACCTGTCTTTCCCAAACTGTTTCTCCTTCACTGGTAATGTGACGGGAGACGGTGCATTAATCAGTGAGGCTTGACGACCACTGAATTCAAATTTCAGTGTTTTTTTAATTTTATTTTATGTTCAGTTGTTGCTGACACTGTTTTGTTGAGATCTCATTATAGGAGAGCTGAATTAACACATACGATGGCGTCCCTCATGCAGGTGAATCATTTAGCTCCACCTTGTGACCAGATAATGCTACTGCAGTTATAGTCAATTTATATGTACGAGATTATGTTTTAGGTAGCAACATTCAGTCTCACAATTTGAACAATATTTCAGTGATAGTGATAGAGCTCCAGACGCAGAGATATTATAAGTGTGCCGAATAGAAATATTAGTGATCTACATTCACCGTCTTCATCGCAGCAAAAACTCTGAAAAAAGGAATACTGCATTCAGTCTTAAAGGTCGACACAAAAGGTTGTATTTCTTTATAGTAATATAACGTAAGCAATGTTGTCATATAAATATGTATAACTAATTATTGATTTTTGTAATAATCTTGTACAGTTCTTTAAGAGAAGAAAAAAAACACAATGAGAAGTTCTTTTGTTCATTTTTTTATTTTTATTTTTTACCGTTTGGATTTTGAATGTCATCTCTCTAGATGTTGACGTAAGCACAGTGTGTGATCGAGTCGGTCGAATCTAAATGCTGACGAACCAAAGTGACAACCTGCAGAGATCCTAATGTCCCTCCTGTCTTTATCTGGGTTGAAACGACTCACGGTGTGCAAGAGAACTCTAAAGAAACTTTAGTTCCAGTTCCAGCTCTTGCCTATACATCTTTAATTCGCTTTTTTTGTGTTTCACTACATGCAGATTTCTAATGTCCAGTCATCGGTTTTTTTTTTAACAGCTATGATCACAACAGAAAGTGTCTCTTTTCCCTTTCTGGCTCCATTCCGTCTTTTCATATTTTTGATGATGATTCAGTTGTAATTACTATAAAACAATGGCACACATCTTCTGTGATAATGTGAGGTGCATATGTACGAGCTACATATTGACCTCAGTTGTAAATGTTGAGTTTTGAAAATGTTTTTAAATGTGTCCGTTAATCAGGTTGTTTTAAAGTGACCAAGTTGTCTCTGGTGTCTGCAAACGGTCAGTATAGTTGGAGATGTCCGGGCTTGTGAGTTTCTGGTATTTGTTCTTTACAGACTGAGATGTCGGAGATGCACTCAGCTGTGGTATCACTAGCGGTCGCTACCAGTCGGGTGCCGTGTAAGAGTAGTGAGTGAGGAGTGAGCAGGCAGTAGATGGCGGTATAAAACAATAAAAGGTGTTTTGAGAAAGTGTGTCACTTGAGTTTACAGCCATAAGTGAGCACCCAATCTGTAATGCAGTTTTGCAAACTCACTCGCTTACTTTCACACATGCAACATGCACAATAAATTGGGTAACTCTATAGTACAGTGTATGCTCTAAGTATCCGTTTCATAGCACAATTCATCCCTAAGTAAACGCCTAGCATAACATTAATAAACAAGATTAAGTTGCGGTGTTCCCCGTCATTGCCAAACAGTTCTAAAGCCATTTGCACAGCTGTCCAAACACCTTCTTTTCCCGTTGTCAGGTTAACACAACACACTTTTTAATTAACTCTGCGCAATGAGAACAGCATATCTCCCCTGTGTCCATGGTGGACAGTTGGCTGTGTGGCTCAGTGCCAACACTTTAATTTGTGTATGCTTGACAAGTGCACGTCTCACTTAGGAGTATAGTTACTAGTTCCTAGTAGTACTTTAACTAGTACTATGTAGTTAAAAAGATCTAACTGAACACATGAGCTTTATTGACTTTGAAAGAAAATAAATAAAATTCAATAACTACAAACGTGATTACATTGCTGGTTGCTATTATCTACAGTAAATGTGAGGACCACAGCCAGTGATAAAGGACACATACAACGATTAGCAGGCAGAGAGCTGCAGTGTAGGTGCCAAATGTCCCGCTTTATTCTCTGGTTGTCACTGAAATCAGCCTTTGGACTCTGACCGAGCCCATGTGTACTCGTTTGTGTTCCAGTGTGTTTTTCGATGTGTGTATGTACAAGTGTGTTCTGCGCTGTAACTCAAGTGGTTGAAGTTGAAATGGTTTCTTCTTCACATGGCTGCCTTTTCTGTTGATGACGGAAGCTGTTGGCTGATGAGAGGGAAGCCATCTGACAGTTTGAGTTCCAGCTGTGCCATAAGAGCTTCGCCTCTGCTCTGCTCCGTCCCCAATGGTCTTCCTCTGTGCTCCCAATGACCTGAACCAACCTCACCAACAACCATGTCATCTGATCTATTGACAGATGTGCTCATTATCATTTCTAACCCGGGGCCTCCCAGTACGACCACTGCTCTCTCAATGGCCACTGAGCAGCTCTGTGGAAGGAAATGCATCAATATGATGCAAAGGGAGAGGAAGGATTCATTGAATCCCAGGAGGCTTTTGTATTTCCAGGACATTCCTGCTTACCTGTTGTTCATCATTCTTGTTGGTCACACCTGTGACAGTTGCAGTACAAAGTCGTACAACCAGTTTAATGTAAGATGTTGCCAAGCTGGAGAAAGCTCCTCGTCTTTTATGTGCACTAACACAACATCTGTATTTTAAACACTATTTCAAAATGTGCGTATGTTCAAAAGTTATCCTGAGCACAGAGCATAGTTATTTTTTAACTTATTGTCACTGAGAGGACGGCTGCCAATGTATAATCCACTCTAATTCAATTGATTTCAATGATGCAAAAGCAAGTCTGATAAGAGGTGTGATGTGAGTCCTGATACACAGAGAGGGATTGCTCCTCAGCTGGTCCGACTCCAACACTGTTTGCTGTACAATAACTCTCTGACATTAATAAATTTCAGTTTTTCTGTTCATTCATGCACTTTGAGCTTTTATTGATCAACAAAATACTGACAATAAAGGATCTAAATAAGGAAGTGTCCAAACTCTACATGACATTTTATCACTGACAAAACTAGAAGCACAAACTAATATGCATGATTTGATCTGCTAACACTGGGAAGTTGTTTCTATGGCATCAAATGCTCTTAAGAAAAAGAATGTTCACTACAAAGCTTGATGAGAAAAAATAATAAACTGCAAGACTTTGAACCAGGATGCATAATGTAAAGCAGCTAAAGCTAAATCTGGGCAATGCACACAATGCACACGTTTGGAATCACCTGTTATATTGATGTTTTTCTTCATATTAACAATAGCTCGTTGTTATCAGCCATTTATCCATTTATCCAGTGCAACGATAAAGCTATGAATGGGAGTAGCCATCTTGGCCTGCTGGACGATGGGTCATTTTGAGGAACTCATTTACTACAGTTTTACTTCTTTGGTTTCAATGCTGCCGAGTCGGTCACTGAGGTCATCAAAGTAACCATCAGCGGAGCGAAGCATCTGGATGACAGCGGTGAGAAGTAGGATGTCACAGTTCTGGTCCAACTCAAACTCTTTGCTGTAGTTCTTCACCGGAACAACACAAGAGACCGGCACGCCGAGCCGAGTGCTGACGACCTGCATCTGAATCACAAAAGCAACACAAAAGATGCCAATGAGGGAAGTTGTTTACACCACAAGACAAATAATTGCATTAATTTAAGTAAAGTCTCATGTTTTGTTTTTTCTACTACTACCACATCAGAGAGGTTGATTGTGTTACATGTATGCATTGCTGTAGGTTATTACCACCGATTACAATTCAGCGACAATGTTATTATTGTATATTAAGAGAACTTAAGATAACAAGACCTTAAAAAGTTAAATGATTTTCTGATTTGTTACCGTGTGGCTTACACACAGATCAAAAACATAAAACTGCAAACAAGCCTCTTCACATTTTCTTTCTTTCTCAATTTAAAGTGGATCTCACCATTTGCTCAATGTAGCCGCTCCTATAAATGTTCCTGATGTCCTGTGAAACCAAAGGGCAGGCTTCATCCACTTTAGTCAGCAGGACCAGCTGAGGAATACCTGGAAAGAAAAAGAAACGTGTTCAAATAGTTCAAATCATTTCTTACTTTGAAAAAAAAAAAAATGAAGACATCTTGTCTCTATCTCTAAAATGCGGTGTCTCTACTGTGTTATACTATGAGAAACAAAATGTCTATTACCTTTTATTTAAGCTTTTCTATTAACATGTCGTTTTTACTGACCCATCAAATTGACTTTTTTGCGAATAGCTTCCAGCTTCTGCTCCAGCTTTTCAGGCATGATGGAGACCTTGCAGGCATCAATGACGTAGGCCACACAGTGGATTTGATCCTCCAGGCCTGGAGACTTGCGATAGCCGCTGGCCTCCGAATGCAGAGGAGCTGACGGGTTGAACTGAGTCATACAGGTGAAAGAAAAGGACGGTTTGAGTTATTATTGTGTTTATTATCCTGCTGAATTTAACAAAAAAAAAAGCTGTACCTGATAGGTGTCTGGCAGATGACCTTTGAGGATGCTGATGATGTCATCGCCATCAAGGCCCATCCCCGTGCTTTCCTCCAATCCCATGGTATCACACAAGATGATTGGCAGTGGTTTTCCTCCTCGTCCAGCTCTCACTGGGTAGATGCGAAACTGTCAGATAATACGTAATGGAGTTTATCGCACAAGATTGTGGATGGTGAAACTTATTCAGCACAAAGACTCATTCACGCCTTTTCAAGCATGCATAAGCAGGACTGGGAAAGCATACTTGACCAGCATCCACAAAGACAGCTGCTTTCTCATATTATCACAGTAGTAATGGTGTATATTATGTTGCTTATTTGTGGTTGAAAGATCAGATATATGTTTTACAATGATATGAACTATATACATGTTGATGCAGTAGCTGAAACCAGCCTAACCTGTGTGGTGACGCTGTTGGTAGAGCAGCCGGCGATGGCCTGGTTGCTGACGTGGCCTCTGAATACAGAGTTGATGGAATTGAAGAAGCTGGACTTTCCAGCTCCAACGAGTCCAATAAGCAGGACCCGAACCTGGGACACAGAGCCGGATACGGGGCAGTAGATCTTTATACTCTCCATCATCTCTGTCCTCGTCCTGACGAAACAAGAGCAGCTTTAAAACATCTTCAACTATAATAAAGTCTTTTTGTAAAGAACACTGTAACATGTTAAAAATGCGTACAGTAATAGTATTATTCTATGATGCAAAGTGTTGTCACATCCAGCTTACTCGTTTTCCCAGACCATCGGCCTCCATGGCTTCTCAAATTCTGGGATTGCTGTTGAAAAGCAAAGAACAGCTTTTAAAAACATATGATCAAATCTTTATCAAATATCATCCACCCATCTAATTTAAATTCTGTTACATTGTAAACGTCTTTTGAAGTTATGAAACATGAATTCAAGTGATCAAGTAATTAAATCTAAAAGTAAAACCACTCCCTTGTTTGTTTCCTTACTTTTCCCTACAAAATTAATATTCACACTGAACTGAAATTCAATTTTCACTACTGGTTATTATTTGTCAGTCAGTGGTAAAAAGAAAACTACAGCTATCTGCCACCTAACTAGAGCGAGCCTGTTCAAACCTGCTGTCGTGTAGCAACAACAATCCAGATGTATCCAGGTGTCCTTTTATAAAGAAGTCTGATTTCTGGTAACCAAATTGATGGTGTTTGTTTATTGTGTGTATCCTGGCAGAACTTCAACAAAATAAGAATATTATTGAGTTTTCATTGTGTAAAGTGCAACAAAAATATAATTTATGAAAACGGAAAAGATAAATGCTTTGCTTATAGGTGCTTAATCAGGCTTGCCTTGTGCTTGATGTAAGACACGATATCTTTCTTTGAAACATGGTTAGCATTAATATTTTGTTGTTTATAGTGAACTTACCCTCCACTTCATAGACTTCACACTCGGTCAGTTTGAGGTCGTTGCCATGCATCTCTGCAGCAGTGAAGTTGTAA